TAATAATAATAATAATAATAATAATAATAATAGTAATAATAATAGTAATAATAATAATAATAATTACATCGCACACACATCGATGTACTGTTCAATTTTACTTATTCTATTCTTTATTACCATTTGCCTTGTCGCTGCCTACTACTTTTACAAACGAAATAGTACGAAGGCACGTGGTACGCGATTCAAGTAATTATCGTAGAGCTAACTAAGCATAATTTGCCAATTTTTTTTGATAACATATCTTTTTTTTTTCTTTTTTTCATCATCAAATTAATAATTTCACGATGCAATTTTAATTTTTTTATCAATTTCATTGCAACCAAATTTTATCATCTCTTTTGCATTTATATATATAATGTTGATTGAAAATTTGATTGATGAATTTTGCACAAATTTACAAAATTTATAATCCATGATATCAAATTGATTTCAAATATATCACGATTTATTCTTAATTTTTTATTTTCAGTCATATTACATATTTCTATTAATATTTTATCTGAATTATTTATATGTCTCGAATTTAGGCATATGCGGCGACCCAAAGAGGACAAAGATACCTTCACCGATTATTTGGAATGGAAAGACGAAATTATTTGTTCGTGTACGGACATGGAGGACTATTGCACGGGAGAATGTTCATGCAAAGAAAATGATTATAAACATCACGTAGATCGTCGAAGTAGTAGCAGTGACGATTCTGTCAAAGAATTGAATTTTGTGGTGCGTAAACCGAAAAAGAAAGAAAAGAAAAGAAAACGATTTACCTTTTTCCAAAGCTCTTCTCAAAATAAGAAGAAGGAAAAGGAACAGGAATATCGGGATAGGAAGTGCGTAAAAAGGAGGAATCTTGGTACGATAGAATTTAAAAATAAGCAGGATGCATCACGATCGTTTATGCTAAATAATTTTATTTCAAATAACGTGATGCATCTTGTTATAGAGTTATTAATAATATAATGGATTTTTTTTTCCGAATCAAGGAAAATTTTGGAAAATATGATGATGAAGAAACATGAAAAACTATTACCAATGCTTCCAAACGATGTATGTTGTAAATGTTGTAAATGTACTGTGTATATTAGAGGTATGATTATGACGAGATTTGATTATCTTTAAATTCATATATTCGTTTTATGCTCAACTTATATGTATATAGATAAAATATTACGTGAAAAGAAAGCGAAAGAAAAGAAAGCAAGGAAAAAGAAGGAAAAAGAAGAAAAGAGAAGGAAAAGGGAAAAATTGCGAAAAGAACTACGTGCAAATAATGTATGTTTCAAAGAGACGTGTAAATAAACTATTGCTTGATTTGCTAATTACTTAATTGCTTTTATTATTATTTAAAATATTTGAAAGATTTAGAAAGGAGAAAATAATAAAATAATTATTAGATAAATATAAAAAATATGAATATAATTCAATAAACTATCAAATAACAATTAAAAAAGAGAACACATAATATGATCGTAACTATATGTGATATAATAATAATTAATAAGCTTTTTAATTCGACGGTATCATTCATAACTTTCGATTCTCGATTATAGATACGTGCGCATTTTTTAAAAATAATTTTTTTTTTCGTTCATTAACAAAAATTTGTTATATTATAAAATTTATTTATTTTTAATTGTAAAAAGATCTGTTATAAAATTGAAATATTTACATATAACTTATTAGATATATAATAACGAAAATCATGATTGTAAATATCATGTTACAATTTTGATATTAAAATTATTTACAATAAAATGAATGTTTATTAATATTAATCTGTATATTGCATACGGATAATAATATATCTATGGAATGTATTCCTTATCACAGTTGAAAATATTAAGTTGAAGTTAAAATTACAGATTATTCATAAAAATATGCTTTAATATAAGTATGCTTAATTTAATAGGTATGTAAAATGAATAATTATTTAAATAACTTTAGAAAAATTGATTATTTTTCACATTAATTATACAAAAAAAAAATTATTTATATATTTCTACTTATTCATATATTAGTCAAAATAAAATATCACAATGTATAGAAACATTAATAAAATGAAAAATAATATTGTTGTATGATATTTTTTGAAATAATTTATATAAATTAGTAATTCTTTCTATCATTTTTTAATCACATATTATAAAATCAGATAATAAATTTGGATAAAGAATAAAGATTATTATTTTAAATAAATTGACTTCATCTAAATTATTTGAATTATTATTTGAGTATTATTAAATTTTTGATGTCATCAATAGTTATTAATTTATATTTAATCATTTTATTTACTTATATAAAAATATAATTTTTCAATTATGTATAAATATGTATTCTTTATAATAGAGATCTGATTAGCAATCGTTTTTGTATTTAATAATTTAACTCAATTAAACTTAAGTCATTAAAAAAAATATATAAAAAAAAATATAGTCATAAATAAAATCAATTATTCAATTTTTTTCCAATAATAAACTATAAAAATAAAAGTAATAAATCATAATTATCAAATCACTTTTTACTATAATGCACATATTATATGAAACTATATTGTTATCTTATGTTAAACGGTTTAACTAGACAATATTCTTTTAAAATTGTTTAATATATTAACTGTAATAATAAAAAATCATTGAACTATACTTTATACAACTGTCAAATCAAATGCAACTTCAATTTCAATCTTCTTTAAGGATCTTCGAATTGACCTTCCTCGTAGTTAGATAGCCAAACTAAAGTCCCGTTTTGCAACATCTTTAAAACTCGCGTCATAATTCGATCCTCATGGAAATCCGCAGGACGATATATTTGTTCAAATGGCTGATAAAATGTGAATGGCGGAAATGTTCGCTTTTTTGGTTCTTTATTTTCTAAAACAAAAACATAACTATTTTGTCTAACCTTTAATATCTATGACATTTATTTTAATAACTATAGTTTAATAAATATATTTATTAAAACTATTATGCATATTTTTATACTTATATATTTTTAAATTTATTATGTTTAAATTATTAAAAGAAATACTAATTATTTTTCAATTGTTCGTGCTACGAACGAATTTGTGAATACGAATGCCATATAAAAGGAATTATGAATATTTATAAGTATATTGAATGTTATAAAGAAATGATTATTTTCAGTCAATTAATTAAATTCTGATTTATTATAAATATTAAATTTATGTATCTTTATTTTACCGTGAGGATCAAATTCATCAGCCGAATCTTCCGAGCTATCCCAATGTTCATCAAATATTTCGTTATGAGATCCTTCTGGTCTAAAATAATTTTATTTTATTTAAAAGTAAAATTAATTTAATAATATATTGGAAAATTTAACGTAATTTAGTTCTTTACTGAAACTTTTGTTTTCTTGATTTTTAAAATTTTTAATACCAACTTACAATACGCATAAAAGACGTTCGTCAAACGAAGAGCTTGATGATGAAAAACTTTTTTCACTTCCAGTTAATGATTTCACTTTTGATCCACAAGGAGATTCATAGCCAAATATAGGATCCAACCAGTAATGTCTCAAAGTATCTCTCATATCTTTATAATTAGGACACCTAGTGTACTATTGATTTGATCCATTAATATAGAATATCCATAATAATTTTTTAAAAATAAGCAATGTCAATTGTCGTATTACATAAAAAATTTAACAAGATGATCTTAAATGAAATTTGGCTTGTTTTTAATCATGAAACCATATTTTTTGTACTTATGTCCTTACCCATAAACATTCAGTTGAAAAGTAATTTTGTTCAAAATCTAATCCTTTCAGATTTGGTAAATTAAATATTATTTCTGGTACTATTTCAAATTCATTATTATATAGATCTATATATTTCAAGTTGTGCAATAATTTTATACTTTCAGGTAATTCATTTAAATAATTATGACGTAATTTTAATTCTTCTAACAATGCCAATTGTCCAATATTTTCAGGAAGATTTGTCAAGTGATTATTATTTATTATTAATCTACTCAAATTTTTTAAAGAACAAATTTCTTCTGGCAAGAAAAAGATATTATTGTAACCTAAATTTAGTTCAGATAGATTGGTAAATTTGTTTATTATTTCAGGTATGCTTGAAAGTCCTGTATTACATATGTCAATTATTTTGAGACTAGATAAAATTTTCTTTGTATTAATAGGCATAGTTGTAAAAAAATTTTGATAACATACTTTTCCATTTCCAATTATTAGTTCTTCAAGATTTGTCATTCCAATAATTATGGTTTCAATATCTTCAGTGCTAAGATTGCATTGTTTCATCAATAATTTTTTAACATAGGATATAGATGATTTCTTTGGCAAATTTAATGTTTGAAATCTCGTTTCATTCAGTGATACAATTTCAAGTTTCTTATATCTGGAATTCAATATCCATTTTGGAAATGAAAGACAAACATTATTTTTTTCTGCATAAAATGTAGTTAAATTAGTACTCAGAGGATAAAAATCCAATTTTGAATTTATATTACATGAAAATTCAAGAATTTGCAAATTTTTCATTCCTTTGCTTATACAATTTGGAATCCATTTAAATTTATTGTCATTAAGATAAAGAACTTCTAATTTATTTAATCTTGCACATGAATCTGGAAGATTTGTTAAATGATTTGTATTTAAAGATAAAACCTCTAAATTTAATAAATTTCCTAAATTATTGGGAAGTTGATTCAACTTATTCTGAGAAACATATAATTTTTTCAATTGATGTAATTCACAAATTACATCTGATAAGAAAGATAAACAATTATTATTTAAATTTAAATATTGCAATTCTTTTAGCATGTTTAAAGAATTAGGTATATTATAAAGTTGACTATTGCATAAATTAAGATCAATAAGTTTTAAAACTGGTTTAGTAACAAAATATTCTATGTGAGATTGTTTTTCTAATAAAAATAAATTTTCAATGATTTCTTTTTTTGTCATATTTATAATTTCTTTATCAGTTTCTTGTATCAATAATATATTTAAATCATTTTCACACATTATATTATGTGCTGTTGCACTTAATAATGTGTTATTTGATAAACTTCTTGAGTTCTGTTCCTTTGTCATATCTAAAAAATAATTTAAAATAATATACTTTATTTACATTTAATTTGCATTTATGAAATATATATAAAATATAGTATCTATACTAAGATTTTATATATCTGGAAATTGTATTTTGGTATTTTTCTATTTTCCAAATGAATTTGCAATAAATACATATAAAAAACCATTTTTATTCGATATAAATATAACCTAATAAAAAATTATTGTAATTCCTTATTATTTCTTATATATAAAAGTCCAAAATTTTATATTTTATTATTTTCAAAATAGTTTATCAATGTTTACCTTTATTAAAATTAAAATTTATTATAAAAAAAAATATTATATGCAAAAAAGTATTAGATTAAAAATTGTATAAAAATGACATCATCTAATAGTAAACATATTGTATATCATATATCTATTACATAGTAATTCTACCATAGATTACCTAGATAGGGAATAAATTTCTCATACAATATTTTTTTTTATTACCGGAAATAAAAAATTATATAATATGATTATTTTACATGTTACATTATCAATTCAGAATATAATATATTAGAAAATATACATAATTAATAAAATTGTTACAAATTAAATTTAATCAAATTAATTGCATTCAAAACAACGTGAATATATGATTATTATATTAATATTATATTAACATATTATTTTTTTACTTATATTTATTCTTTATACAATACTTTATATAATTCTTCATATTTATTCTTTATATTTTTTAAAAAATAATACTTATAACACTAATTTACTTTTTATTTATATTATTTTCTTTATGAAATTTACGATATGATTTAAGATAGTTGCAATATGATATTATGATGAAACATTTGGAAAAAAAGGAACATTTTTTTTCGGAAAATAAAAAAAGATGCTCTTTTTCTATTTAAAGTAGAAATTATTAAAATATTTTTTTTTGACTTTTCTTAATGGAATATTCTAACAAAATGGCTGACAAGATGTTATCATATTTTTTAAGAAAAAGAGCGTTATTTTTAGAATATTGCAAATGAAATTAGTTTATAGAGAAGAAGAACAAATAATACAAAAATATAGAATAGAACAAAAAAACAGAATAGTGTAAAAATTAAGGAATTATAAGCACCATTTTCAGAATACTGCAAATAAAATTAAATAAATAAAAAAAACAAATAATATAAAAAGAATAGAAATAGCGCTAATTCCTATACTGTAAGTTTATCAGCCTTATATAATTAATTATTCTTATTTATATTAATTTATATTAGTTTCATTTAAACATTTCAGAGATGGCGCTGATTTCCTTATTTTTCTGTCATTTTTGTTTTTCTTATCTATACTTGTTTTTGGCGCGTAATGATAAATAAGATCAGAGATATCGATTATCATATTTTCATCATTTTTCTTTCAAAAGTGTATTGTGTTTTAATTTTTAATATAAAACATATAAATATTATATTTTTGATTATCCGATATTTGGTAAAGAATAGTATACTTTGCGAGTTTTTGATATTCCAGTAAGTGTTGAAATTTAAACAACAAAAAGTTTAGTCCGACAACAAATGAAGTAGAAAGAAATTCTGAATATAAAGCAATAAGGAATAACAAATTAAATTTTAGATCTATTCTATACTTTATTTAATATTTATTCTAAAATAGAATTATATTTATTTGAAAATGTATTTATTGATATTGAATAAATACATACTCTTATTTCAATGATGATATAAGAAAAACAAAAAATAAAAACAATTCATTTTGATAACAAATTGTGTATATATTTATATTTATAATATATCATAACTACTGTTTCTTTTTGCCATATTTTAATTTGTTTTTTAATTTTTTTGGATTTATTCCATACATTCTTAATCTTTCAGGATTTAGTGAAGCAATATCATTATTGATTTCTTTGTTCTTTAAATTTTTCTTCTTTTTTTCATTGAATTTCTTCTTCATAATCTTTTCCTTTAATTTTGCTTTTTTGAAATGTTTGACATTTGACTCATTATGATTTTGATCATTAACTTTTCTTTTAGATGTAGATTTTTTATTAATAAATTTATCAGTAATTTCTTTTTGCATTTCATTTTTGGTAGAATTTATAGACTCTTTGAGATTGTTAATTTTCAATTTCTTTTGCTGTGATTGCTCAAGCTGTTCTTGCTGATTTTTCTTTTCTTTAGATTTTAAATTTTTCTTTGATTCTTTCTGTGTTTCATCAATATTATTTATAATCTTCTTCTTATTAATATCATGGTTTTTATTATCTGTTAATGTTTCATGATTAATTTTAGCAATAGATGAGTTGTTTTCTATTCCTTGTATATTTTTTTGCTTTTCTCGAGGTTTCTTTTTTGTTTCCATATTGATAGTGTTAGTAGTATTTACAACTTGTTTTTTATTTTCCTCTTTTTCATCTTCAGGTTCTCTAAAAAAAATATCGAATACAGATAAGTAAATAATAAAAATATAATTAAAAAAATAATTAAAATTATATTTCTTTTTCTTCTTTTCTTACTTGTATAAACTACTAAGTATCTTTCTTTTAAGTGTTTCATTTTTAGCTTTTTGTTTAAACATTCGAACATCATTAAGTTCCACATAATCTGGTTTATGTTGAAGAGCTTTTTTTAAAGAGCACCATTTATTCAGTTCTTTATCATCAGCCATTAATATCTGATAAAAAATATATAATTAAGATCTTTTAAAAATTAATAATAATGAATAATTAATAAATAATGAATAAAAAAAATTTCTTACTTCTTCCATGGTCAAACCATAATCGTTTGGTACAACTTTTCTATATTTAAATCTACATGGTATATCACCAATCATATCCTCATAATCTAATGAATAATACTTATCAAAATATTCTTCATAAGATTTATATTGCTGTGGATCAAATTTTGGCTTTTCTTGTGCCATAAGTTCTGCGAATTTAGATTTTCGTTTGCGTCTCTTTCTTTTAGGATCTTCTATTTCTTTTTGAATCTTTTTTAATGGATCATAATCTGCATCCATCTAAAATGGTATTTAAATTTTATTTCTTTTATTGAAATTAATATATAATTAAATTAAAAACAAAATTACATTAAAATCTGCATCTTCGCAGTGCGGCTCTTTATATTCTTCTTCTTCATAATTATCTGTATTTGGATCATAATCATCCCACGTATTTTCAATTTCTAGTTGATCATCAATATCTGGAAATTCAGGTTTAACATCTGTCTCGGGGGCGGCATAATAATCATCATTAAAAATTTGTGTCATTTTTCGATCATGTTCGTTAGGATCAAAATCACCTTCCAAATCGAGATCATTAAATTGTATATCATCATTTCCTGTAATCTCTCTTAATGTTTCTATTTTTTCTTCTATTTCTTTTCTCTTTAATGCTTTTAATTGCATAAGTTCCTCTTTCTTTCTTAGTTTTTCGTCTTCTTTTCTTTTTTTTACTTCTGCTCTTTTTTCAGCTCTACGAGTATCTTTTCGTCTTAAAGAATTCTCCATAGTGCGTGGATATCGTTTAATAAATTCCTGATCAGGTTCTTCAAATCTAAAATTATATTTATGCTCAAATTGTTCTTGTTTTTCAATATTTCTTTCATCTTCTGATAAATTTTCGTCACTATCGTGAATTGCGTAACTTTCATGTTCATTGCTAATATCATCTGGTCCTGTATAATTTTTGTCTAGATATTTATTATTGAGCACATAATCCCTTAAAAATTTTTCATTAGCATCTAAATTAGGATTTGTCCAAAAATCACGTAAAGGTTTGAGTACTTCCTGTTCATTTTCATTTATATTTATTTTTTGACCTTTTAACCATTCTTTATAATCAGCCTCTTCCTAAACAATAAAAATAAAATAACAATTCTGTTTTTTTTTTATAAAAAATAAAAAAGATTACTTTTTCTTACTTTTTCTTTTTCATTTTCAGATTTGATTTTTGGTTTTAATAAATCATCTTCCTCTTCCTCTTCTTGCAATGCGTTTTTAAAACTTTCTTTTAATTGTTTTTGCTCTTGAACATATGTGATTTTCTCAAATTCTTTATCCTTTTTTTGAGCATTCTCATCTTCACTATCGCTAAATTTTCCTTCTCTTTCTACAATAATCTTTCTTTCATAATCTCTTAAAAAAATAGCTTTTTCTTTTTTAGTTTTTTGCTTCTTCTTTTCTGAATATAATTCCTGTGTCTTGTTAGTATCGTTAAAAAATGTTATATCTTGATTATAAATTTTTGGATCTTTATTTTTTAAAAGAGCTAATGTCTTATAAAAATCTTTATCGAATTGCTCTGTCAGCTCCTATAAAAAGTATCTAATTAGGAAATAATATATATTATAATATTATAATATATTATAATATATATATTTATAAAACTTTTTATAAATGTAAAAATATTTTATTATACATTTTCTTCTTCGTTTTCAGAACTTTCACTTTCAGAACTTTCATCCGATATTGCATTTGTATTGATATCTCCGTATTTTGTTTTTACTGAAATATAAGAGAGTTTTAAGAGACAAAAATAGTTTGATACAAAAGGTTATAAAATTATACTATATATATGTACAATTACTTACATTTGTTTAATTCTTCTTTTTGCCGCCAATTATTATAATTTTTGGCATAATCTGTATTTATCTTTAATTCTTTTTCAGAATCGGAATTATCGCCATTAAATAAATTAGGCATTATTTCAATATCAAAAGAATCATCAAAAGTTAGCTAATATATAATGAGAAATAAGGTTCTTTTGATTTTGAATATTTTACAATTTTTAATATAAAATAATTATAAAAAAAATTTTAACATTATTTACAAATAAAAATTGTTGCAAGTTATAAAAAATAAAATTTATTCTTCTTAGAATAATATAAAATAATAGAATAGAACGAAGAGGTTATGTTTACGCGGATAAAAAAATCCACATACTATCTTTTCCTAAGAATTTAAGTACTACTTAAGATTTTATTTATTAATTGATTGTAAAAAACAAATTTTTATTGTTGAAATAAAACATATTAGATTATCTATTAATAAACAGGTAAACAAAATAAAATAATTTTATAAAATTCATTTAAAAATATAATATTTTGACAGGTTATCTATATTTATTAAAGTTTTTTGAAATATTGTTAAACGTATATTATAATTTATAAATCACTATTAATTCCATAATTTTTAACTTTTATTTATTGATGTTTATTCAAAATTATATTTTTTTGTTAGAAATCAAATAATTTTTATAAAAGATATAAAATATTAAATTTTATTTTAATTTATACATATAAATTATATTTATGTATCATAAAATTATTTGTCCCTGTTTTATTAATACTTTAGATTTATTTGTTCAGA